ATTTGTCGTGAGTGACAATATTTTCAAGTTGGGTCGATAACTTTAGGAACCTTTATAGCCCTAGACTTACCAGGTGAGAACCTTGTTGTAAAAGTAATCAACTTTTTGTCATCCGTACCTCAGACCTTTGAACCCATATTGCCTAAAAACAAAACAAAAAAGCATAAACATGACATTGTATTTTGCACGTCAAAAACAATAAAATTCATGCATTTGCATTCATTAGCATGCATATTATTTTTTCATAATCCAAATAACTCATTCCATCCTTTTTCCCCATGTTCAAAGATGATTCCCTGACACCACTACGCGACCAGAGCCAACGTACGAATAAAGATGGAAGAGGTGAGAGGAGACATCGATGAACTAAAAGGGTCAATGGAAAAGATGGTAGAGATGTTGCAGACGTTAGCCACCAAGGATGTCCCTCCTCAATGTACCATGATCTCTGAAATTACGGGGCTTTCATTCGATTCGCAACGTTCCCCAAGGATCAATACTACGTGGCCATAGTTTGGTTAATTTGTCACATAACTACTATCCACCCTTTGCTGATGTTTCAGGAGTAGGGTCATCCACTCAGCACGTGGTGCAACTACCGACAATCCCTAATATCCCACCACCACTTGTGGTCCATACTATGGCACAAGGACCCTTAGATGATCCTCATTATGCTTACCACGATGTTGGTTCTCACAATAATGATCCATAAGAGAGGGAAAAGTTGATCGAAGTAAAAGAAAAGTATCAAACCCTTAAGAAGGGGTTAAAGGCCATGGAATGTGGCATATCTTTGTTGCAGCTACCGTAGATATGTGCTTGGTTTCAGATTTAATTATCCCAACCAATATCAAAACACATGACTTTGAGAAGTATAAGGGCCATACTTGCGTGAGAATCCATCTGATTATGTAATACCAAGAAATGGCTGCCCATACTAAAAACAATAAGTTATCCATAAACTATTTCCAAGACAGTTTGAGTGGAGCTTCACTGAAGTGGTATATGGGCTTGGAGAAAATTTGTATCCAAAGCTGGAATGATTAAGCCAATTCTTTTCTTCAACAGTATAAACACAATCTGGACATGGCATCGGACCTAAGGCAACTAAAGGGTATGGAAACGAAGGAAAGAGAGTCCTTCAAAGAATATGTCCAATGCTGGAGAGAGTTGGGTGTCCAACTGAAACCTTTTCTATCTGAAAAAGAAATGATTGGCATAATTATGGATACCTTGCGCGATCCTTACTTTGATAGGTTGGTTAGTAGCAAAGCATATGGATTTTCTGATCTGGTTGTAATTGGGGACCAAATAGAGAATGGTCTAAAAGATGGCAAGATTCTCAACAATGTTTGGGGCATCCTGCACTCCCAATAAATTCTCTAAAAATTTCTAGAAAAAGAAGGAAGGAGAAACTAATGACATCTTCGTTGATAAGAGTAATACCGTAAACAACAAAACTTATAAATAAAGTATTACTCGATAATTTAAGGTGTCACCAACGACAACCCTTCAAAAACACATCAAATCATTTAAAGCTGCGCAGTGGAAAACCATTTCATAATAACTTCATAAATGAGTTATAAACTTAAAAATAACAAAGCAACATCAAATTCAAAAACATAGTAACTCCCATCCTTGATGTTACACAATCAGAGCACTAAAATCCACTAAAGTATTATAAAGCGATAAATTAAAACGAAGAGTAGCTCCAACAAGAAACCTGTCACACACAACAACAATGATCACCCTTGAGTATCTGCAAGATGTCCATGGTGGAAAACATGAAGCAAAAGAGGTGAGAAACAACATTCAATATAAACAATATAGAATTCTAAGGTAGAGAACATACAACGTATGCACACTCATTACACAATCAACAACAACATAGTCTCACACCCATTCATAACAACATGCACATATATGTATATGAAATGCGACTGACGATACTACGTGACACTTATGCACGTGGTACCATTTATGGACAACACATGTCCATATCGCTCCTAAATCCCCACCATAGGATAAGAGCACACCAAATCGTTAGTATAACCATAAGTAACGTTTCACCTATTCCCATATGGAACCAACCAGTGGCGGAACTAAGATTTTTTTTGTGGGCCACTAAAATAAACTATAATATTTAAATTAAATATAAAATTTATATTGCATATAAAGATTTAAGTCTTGATAATCGCAAAGTTGATTACTAGAAAAATAAATTACATACCTTAAAAATAATACTCTATGTGTATTGAGTGACTTGAAATCATCAATAATAGAGTCTGAACTAATACATGCACTAATTTCTCTTTCAATGTAAATTGTCATGCTATCTGCTAAAAACCAACCTTTTATCTTGTTTCGCAACTTAGACTTGATAATTTTCATTGCTGAAAAAGATCTCTCAGTTGTGGCAATAGAAACTAGAAGAGTCAAGATAAGACGGAGTAGCCTATCGATCAAGAAGTAAAATGTATTCCGGTTAGTTGCAACCAAACACGAGCATAATTTTTGAATAGGTGATACATTCTTCAAATCTATTTATTGACGGGCATCAATAAGAAATTTTCGAAGCTGAAACTATAAAGTAATCATCTCTTGCTCATTGAAATCCATAGGATAATATTTTTCAACTAGAGTGCAAATATTATTAATGTTAAAAGCTTTATAACTACCCTTAGAATCCAAAGCACAACTTAGAGTTAACAAATCCATTGCTTGCTCACTAAATCTATTATTCAACTCTTGTAATTGTTGGTCAATAATAGCAAAAAAATATTTCAACTTTAAAGTAATGTTCTAGTGTGACCTAATTTTATTCAAGACGAGAGCGTCCATATCTTATTGCTGAATGAGTATCATCAAGATTAGGAATCTCAATATCATGTCTCACACAATAAGACATCACATTAGCATACAACTTATCCCAACCATTTTCTCTCAGCTCTCGAATAAGAGTATTTGTTGTACAAACTAAAATCATAGCATTATTGAGATTATTGTTGTAGAGAGAGAGAGAGAGAGAGAGAGAGAGAGAGAGAGCTTACCTTTTTAAAATTAAAGGAGAAATTTCACAACTGAGAGGGAGAACCGGAGAACGACTCGCCGTCGGTTGTCGCTGCTAATGTGTTAAATGTGTTAAATGCCTTAGATGTATCTGGAAGGATAAGTGAAAGACTTGTGATAAATAGTTGAGATATTATAACACATCAATAATTCCTTCCATATCATGACCATTAAGAGAAGGAATTCACTCATTTATATGGAAGAGAAAAGGGGGTTACTCATTACATTTCGTGTGTTATTCATGCACCCTGGTGATATTATAAAAATACTCCATAATTCTGAATTTTAAAATCCGCATGCGCCTAAAATACACAACAAACCTTGAAACTCGCCAAAGCCAATGGTAAAAACGAATCCAGAGTTTAAAATTCAAATTCTTCTCCCGATACTACTATTTAAACACATCACAAACTCATCCAAGAGTATTTTTGGATTTTGAAATCCACAATATACCTTGCTATCATAAAATCATAATAAATTTCAAACAAGAATAGAAAATCATGTCATGAGACTTTTTTTTTCAAATTGTGAAATCTGGAGTATGTCTCGTTATAAAAAAAATTAAAAGCTGAAAAAAACTTAAATTAACATAAATATTTATATCATATACACAAAATATGTGACATTGCATAGATCTTTGTTAAAATAAAATGTAACAATATATTTCAGGATCTAGAGATTGTTGATTATGTTTCAACATTTTTAAAATATCGTCGATCAATCTCGCAGTTGTCATATCAACTTCAATTAGACATTTTCTTTCGTGACGGTGAAACATACTCCACATAACTCTTAGATCTTCATCCATTTTCAATTCAAATTTGTTGAACTTTAATTTTCATTAACTATCAATCAAAGGGTGAGTGGTATTCAATCTTAACAAGTCTTCGATTGTCTAAATAGCACAAAAGATTATTTAATTAAAATTTTTAAACTTCAAGAGAGGTAATTTTACAGGGTTTTTGAAAATAAGTTGTTTTGATCATGAAAAACATGAAGAAAAAGAATATTTTAGACCATTTAAATTCGTTTTCCCGCTTGAAATTGTGAAGATTGAAATTCAGATTACTTCCTAATAATAGACTCTTTTTTTTTTTTTTTTACAAAAATGTGTTGTTTAAGTCATGAGGCAATTTGGTTGTTAATAAATACGTCCGGATTTTAAAATCTTAAGTATAAAAAGGGCATTTCGAAATTTGTGTAGTGTGTGATCATGGGGTGTAGTAAGCGCCACCTAAAAAAAAGTTTTGATGAGTGGACCTCCAACAAATTCACTCATTAGGGATGCTTTGAAGTATTGAACTATCATTTAAGATAGGTTTAGACAATATATATTTAGTTAGACAATACTACAGGCAATGGCAATGAATAGTTCCATCATTTAAGATAATAAAATTTGTTATAAACATATGACAAAAACATTACACATCACATAATACTAAATTTAGCAGAAGAGAAATAGTGTTACACAATACTACATCTTCTTTCAGGACCATTCGACAATCTACCAAGATAAATAGATAATAAACTGCTCATTCCACATTATTTTTATTTTTTGAAGCTAATAAACTTTCTATGGTGTTGAAATGAACAGCATCAAAGGTCTACGAGCCATTTCAAACAATATAACAGGTGGATTTGTAAGTACTTTTTTATCTCATCAAAAGTCTTTTGGAGTTGAACTTTTAATTTAATCAAGGTGAGATGGCTCATGTTTTACCTGACAGATTCAAGATAAATCTTTTAATTTGATCAAGTGTGAGAAGGCTCCAAGATTCAATGGTCCCGTCGACCTCGAGCTGCTTTATGCTCATCAGCCCATGCAATGCATAAACAAAGTCACTTTTGTACGCTTGCAAAATGTTCATTAGATAAGGATGTACATTGTTGCTTATATTATTATTACATAAACAATGTTTGCAAAACAACAATCAAATGAAGTTCATTCTAGTTGGTAATTGTATGCCTGCCCTTTTCAGAAGTTCAGCGGAAGCCTGTTTTGCTTTTGAAATAACTTCATCCTGTCATGGACAATCAAATTAAAGTCACAATGGACACAGCCGAATAAATACTGCTTAGTTGGTAGCAAGGAACCTAAAACCAGTTTGAAAGATTTTTCCTAAATTTAGGGTTTCACGCCTCTCCTAAGTAGTTCAATCAAATACCTCATCAACATTGATAATCTTTTTGTCCTTCATTATCCACAGACCATTGCACATGACAGAAACCACATTTTCTGTTCGCATGCAATAAACCATGTTGGAGATGCTGCATATTAATTAAACAGTAAATATATAAGGTTTTTAAACAAATTTGGAATGACATGATGATGATAAAGAAGTTGTATTCAGCAAGTCAAGATTGCAAGAGGATATAGAACTTCTGTCACCTAGTCACACAATTGCTTTATACAAATTCTTGGGCAAGACTAACCATTATAGAATTTCAAAATCACCCTAGAAGAATATTCTATAGTCATCTAATTCAAAAATAGGTCATCAAAAATATGTAATTAAAAAGGTTATTTATTTAACAAGAAGGAGTGGGTTCTTACCAGTCATGAACAGGAACCATAGACCAAGAGGAAGGATTGACAACAACAATGTCAGCCTAACAAAGGACAAGTACAGACACTGTCAGCTTCTGTTATTAGGAAAAAATGCTGGGTATTATTAATAAAATCATGTACATGGTTCTTTTACAACATTATTTACAAAAAGCACTCTGATGCAAAAGTCACAAGTATAATATGATAGTGAATAGGGTATGAGAGAGAGAGCTAAAATAGGGTAAGGCGCCCTTATATATAAAGTGAATAGGCTTATTTAACTGTCATGGGGCTTATGTTTTGGGCCATACGGGAAGTGAGACCATGTATTGTCAGCCGAAACTATCTTGCCAAGTATTCTCCTTGCCTAGTGAAGGATTGACGGCTTGTCCATTCATTTGGCCCTCCCAACATCCTAATACTCCAGACTCAGTTAATTTGACGACTTACTACATCGGGGAGCAAATACACTGAAACGGTACAAGACACAAACACACAATATGTAGAACTTTACATCAATGACATGACATAAGAAATCATAACAGTCATGTTAGGATAAAAAGTTGATTACAAATGTTTTTGGATCATAACATGAGAAATCACATTTGACAACCACAATCAAGCTTAGCCGCCAACATTTTCTATGTATATGATAAAAAGCAGCATGACTAAAAGGGATTGAAATTAATAGCTTCCGAGAGTTTCACATGTAGGGTTGTGATGGAAGCGCTCAAAAGCCATTTGATGAATAAATACCAAGAGAATGTCAGGTGCACGTTACTACAGAAGAGACCAATATATTAATGAAATTGAATTTTTTCTCTTCAGGGCTGCACAAATTGCAAACGTGCTGCAGAATTCTGGGTACAGGTTGAAGCTTCTCCAACTCAGTTTGCAGTGCCAGGTTTTGACATTTGAAGATAATGCAGCTGGAGTGCTGCATTTTATTATTATTTATATATGCTACACTAGTGTGTTTTCGTGTCTGCTTGTCACAAAAGCCGGTCATTTTGATGTGCATATATTTTCTGGAGCTTCTCTCCTCTTTCCATTGTATATAGTAGTCAGGTTTTTTCCATGTTGCAGTGATGTGGAACGCAGTACAAAAAGTACACAAGCTGGTATTAGACGAGATAGGGCCAGGCCACTTAAGTCATGCTCAAGATGCCTAGTCTTGAAAGGGGGGAAGGGGGTTAAGATTCTCCCACATTAGATGAGATAAGGCATGAACACGAGTTTAAGCATTAAACTCTTCACTTTAAAAGCTGGTTTTGTAGGGTTGAGTTAAGCCCAACCCAAATTCTAATAGCCAAATATCAAATTGAAGGTAATAGGTTTTACACAATAGTGAAAGTTGAGTTTTCACCTTAGGTCCATAAGATCTTGAAAACTTTCCCTATATACATTCATTGTTTGTCAACGTTCAGAAAATTAATTATCTTAACAACCAACAGATATAAGTTTTCCATGTTTCACTAGTACTTTATTTATGCACAATAAAACATAATGAAGATAAGAAAGTAATTAACAATTCTGCTCCCCTCACCAAAGTTCTCTGCATTAAATTTAAATATCTGTAGTAGATGTTGTGTCCAACTAAAAGGTGTTCTAGCAGTTAGTTCTTGTTAAATGAGAAGGAGAAAACCATAATAACCATAATAACAACAATGAGAATAAAAACATATATAATTGGAAGCAGTACCAACCTTTTTCCCAACCTCAAGAGAACCTAGTTCATCATCCCATTGTACTGACTTTGCACCATTAACTGTGACCATTTCAAGAATAGTTTCGGCAGACAGTGCTGTTGGATCTGTAGTTCCATTAGCAAAAACTTCCCGTCCTTTGTTAATTAGAGAAGCTAGGTACATTTCATCAACTGCAAATATAATGTATTAATGAAAGTTCCCTCTCCATAAACTGTACCTAGCATTTTCCATCCCATGCTTGAGACTCCCACTACTATATGCATGTAGGTTGTTTCCATGGTATATTTTATAAGTGTATTGAAAATAACAAATTCTTCACATTAAAATCCACGTGTACAAGAATTGTAAAAGTATAAAGTTGAGAAGAACCAATGCTCATGCGATTGTTTGAAGGGGCCCCATCCGTTCCCAAGGAGACACAGATGCCAGCACCAAGCATCTCCCTTACAGGTGCAAATCCAAGCATTCGCATAGCAGCAGCTGGACAGTGAGACACTTTGACCCCTGCCTTTGAAAGAAGAGATATCTGAAAATTTAGCATTTTGAAGTTGTCAAATTTAAGAGGTGAATGAAAGGATTATTTCAAGTAAAGTCTGTTGTTAGATCCACAAAGTCCATATCAGCAAATACTTGCAAACAATTGTGGATATTTATTTGCATACCACCATCACCGTTTATTTATTATCAATAAGAAAAACAGAAATCCAAATGATGAACTGAGTTTTATCGAAAGATGAATGGGCAAAGATTGACCTCATTATCATCCACCCAAACTGAATGAGCTGCTAACAGATTATTTTGAAGGAACTGTATCTTGTCCAAATATGTAACAGTTCCATGATTAACCTTGTGAACATCCACAACTAGTTGATTCTCATAAGGTATCTCTGCAACATGCTGACCAAATTCTAGTACTCAGTATGATATTTTAAATATGAAATTGAAACACTGCAAAAATCAGAGATGAGTTACCAAATACCTATGAAGCATTGACACCAGAAATATGAAGCACTGATAATAATTTAAAAAACAAATAAATTAACAGTATTTATAAATGCCGGTGTCACACAGACACACCTTTTATTTATAAATGCCGGTGTGACACAGACAGTAACTCAGACACACCTTTTATTTTTCAAAAATGTCGGTGCTATAGAAATACCCACCATATGTATTCCGGTGTTGAGTTGTGCAGCAGCATCTCTTGTTTGAAGAAGCAAGTCCTCCGTAGAGTTCATGATTTGTCTGACTCCAAACCAGATTCTAATGCGACCTTGAGCTGAATTATTGTACTTGTGATAATTATCCTTTTGAGACTGAATACACTCGTGAGTAGTACGAATAGCCCAAGAAGAAGGCAAACCGTGACCAGAATCCATAGTTGACTGAGTCAAACAAGCACGCAAACCAAGCAACTCAACAGCCTTGGCCATTCCAGAAACATGCTGACCACCAGCTTCAGCAAAACAGGTAACACCGGAGTGAATGAGTTCGATAGCACAGAGTAAAGTAGAGAGATAAGAGTCGTGTTGGGTCATGGCGGATTCGTAAGGCCAGATGCGGTGGTGAAGCCACGTGACTAAGTCAACGTCATCGGCTATGCCTCTGGCAAGTTGTTGGGAGGTGTGAACGTGTGTGTTGATGAGTCCGGGGAATATGATGTGGCCGGTGAGGTCGATGAGGTGGTCGGCGAGATGAGAGAAGTGGGAGAGAATATGTTGGGAATGTCCGATTGCTTTGATTCGATCGAGATGAATAACGATACCTCCGTCTTTAAAAACTCGGTGATCGTCGTCCATGGTTATGATGACACAACCGTACATTACAGTCATCTCTTTCTCTTTCTCCATCGCGCATCCACTTCTTCTTCACTACCTCCCGTTTCTGTCAAATTCTTTTGAAAAATAAATACTCATTTCACATCATTCTTGAATTTACTGCTTCTATTCTTGTCTTATCTTTTAATTTTGACAAATTTTTATTTATGGAGAAATTATATGCTTACACCACATGTTACAACTTACACCGTATTTTGATATGGTTTTGTTTTTTTAATTATATTTAATAATCATTTCTTACTTTTATAATATAAATAAACACATGTCATAGCTATATTTTAGAGAGTGTAGCTATACGGTGTATCATTTTGGTGTAGGAATAACAATCCTTTTATTTATGCTATGAGTATTGTTTGGTAAAAATGCCCCTTAATTCCATTTATGATTTTTATTTGTTTTCTTAATTCTAAGTCTTATCAAAAACATATTTCTCAGTCAATTAGATATATTTTCGTAAATTATATAAAAAAAATCATTAAATTACATTTTTATTGGCTTTATTTTAATATCGCAGTCTCTTTTTTCTCTCATCAACAACAAAATTACTCTATCATTTCTATTTTAAATTCATGGTCCAAAATTCCTTTAAAAAAAAGATGGTTTACTGAAATAACAACAATAAAGTTGTTGTAAGAAAAAGAGTGGTGTTCCATCTGGCCTTAAGTTTTGATGATAATTGCACGTGTTATCTTAGAAAACAATTCAGTACTTTATGATTTTTGTCTAGTGTGTAATTGTTGCTAAACTGGATCTGAATTTGATAAAAACGCGTGTAACGTCATCAGACTCTTATCTAAACTCTCTGGAAAGAAAACATATGTTGTGTACAAGTTAAAGTCAATATTCAGGAAGACTCTTAGTGAAACGGTTTTGAAGAACGTTTATTAAAGCTTCTGATTAAGACTTTGTTATTAAGCCCTAAAGGCTTTTTAAAGGTTGTGCTTCTATTGTTATATGTTCTGAAGCTTCTAAAGACAAGGTTTTGTCGAACGAAGTTCTGAAGATTCTAAAGACATCATTTCTGAAGATCAAGTTTTGAAGACTTTGAAGATAAGGTTCTGTTGAACGAAGTTCTCAAGACTCTGGAGACAAATATGCGCTAAATAAGTTCGGATGATTCTGAAGACGAGGTTATGTTGAACGAGTTATGAAGACATCACTTCTAAAGATCAAGTGTTGAAGACTCTTAAGTTAGTTTTGCTGAATGAAGATTTGAGACTCTGAAGACTTAGGTTCTAAAGTTATAAGTATTGATCTCTCTACATGCTTCATCAAATCTAAACATGAGGCCTCTGATGACTTAGAAGACAAAAGATTAAGAATGGTTGGATAAAACGCTGAATATAAAAGTACAAAATAGTTTGTGACCTCTACCTAGACTAGGTGGCGCAAAGACAACTTTTTGTATTATGATGTGACCATTCCTTGAGTGAACGTTGGATTATTACAGCTAAAATATGTTTCTTATTATACCCTTCAATGGATCTATTCTCAAGTCCTATTTATTGAAGATCTGAAGACTTTAAGAAGGTGATAAAAAGTGTGTGTGTTGGTGTTGCTTACAAGCTGCTGAAGCGAAGAAAGTAAAAGAGCTTAGAACTAATGATGATGTAGCTGTTGCTGAAAGCCGAGTGAAAATAAAAAATTCTAAATTTCAAAATGCTGCAAGAGCAAAAAAGAAATTTAAGAGAGAGTAACTAGAACAAGAAGTTAAGGAGCTGAATAATACATGACAGTATGTGTGCAAGGCGGAAGCAAACAGCAAATTATAAGCTCAAGAAGAAGGTGTTCAATGCTCAACCATATAAGAGCGCTGCTCTACATGAAATGAGAGAAGCATTAAAAGAAGCTTTTAAGCTCACAAAACTTATGTTGATACGATGCAAATCTCTAGGATATTATTCTTAAGATAACTTTGTAGAATAACAAGAAGTTGTTGCTCACATATTGCTAAGAAAACTTTTGTGTTATTGTACTTCAATTGTGTCACCTGCTTGTTTAGAAGCATTTCATGTACACACTCTTATAATCAACAATGGTTGATAGTTCCTTGAGAGACTAGGGTATAGTCAGAATTCTCAAGAAGAAAATGGAGGTTATCCATTGTGGTTTGCAACAAGGACGGGTAGTCTAAGTTGTTTTGTTGTAATCTATTGAAATTATTGGATTAAGTCATTGTTTAAGGAAAAATTACCTTGGTGGATGGACTGGAGTAACTTTGTTAACAGTGAACCAGGATAAAAATAATCGTGTATATTTATTTTGATTTCTCTTTATTAGCGTTGTTTTAATTCTGCACAAAAGTTCATAGTTGGTGAAACCCAATTCAAACCCATTCTCTTGTGTTTCTCACCCCTTAAGTTACAGCACGAACATTAGAAGATCCACCAATATTTGACGAACACTTCTATCGCGATTTCCTAACAATTCACCAAGGATTCATTCCCAATCATCACCAACTTTTGTTTTGTTTTTGTTAAAATTTGAAAAGTACAATGGTTTACCATTCTATATTTGTGTGTTACTCGTTTTTCATTCAATTTGTTTATTTTAATTATGGTACGTTGGAACATGTCTATGAAAAAAAGGATGAATTTAAAAAGTTTTTACATTGGGAACACACACACATGTGTTTTTTGACCAGTATAGCACCATCTACCGTGGGGTTCTGATAAAACTAACTTGAATCACACCTCTTTTAAACACCACCACCTTTCTGTTCTACCATCAACTCCTACACCTAGTCATTATCAATCATGATAAAAAGAATAGCTTCATCCCCTACGCTTAAGGGTACTAACGATAGGCGATGTCATGGAGAAATGACGTGTCTGATGCTGAATTTAGCAAGTATATGAATAGCGTAAGAGTAATACAAAAGATTATCGATCCCACAGAGACCAAACGTCAATCTATCGATTACTATTGTTACGGTGTTTATCTAAGACAAATCAATTGGGAATTGGTTTGTGCAAAGTAAAAGTAAAGTGCGAGAATAAATTTAATATTAAAACAATAGACTTGGATGTAATTCACATAGCTGGGTAGTATTTCAAGTGCATATAAATAGAACGTCTTATGGGGTAGTGTTTTCTACTCGTGAAAATAACTAATTTAACGGGAACTATCGCTTCCGCGTATTCAGAACCGAGTTTATCCCCTAATCGATCCTTCTTATTGTCACTTATAAAAAGGTGCGCATTGCATTAAAGTAATAAACCTATTTTTAAGAAATATAGTTTCTTAACTTAGTTGAAAAGTATTGTAACCTGGAAATCTTAACAAAAAGAGGTTCATGCGAATCGGATTTTAAACCCACAAACGCGTCTGAAAATAGTTTTAAAATTTTTTTTCTAAAGTATTATAGATTCCTACTTAACTGGACCAAGCGCTTTCGCTTCCTTTGAACAGTTAAGACTAACTAAGTTTAACTAAAGGTTGGACGACTTTCGATCTTACCCAACAGATTTTAAGTGCGGAAAATATGTGTTAAAAGTCAGAATAACCCCTGAGAGATTCTATTGACAACTATATGAAATACCACTTTAACTATGATCCTTACATCCTAACCTCTAAGATTTGGCCGGACATAGAAACGTAAATAGGCATGGTAGTAAATAAAGTGCGAGTAATAAAGTGCGATAAATAAAGTGCGAGCAATAACGTGCGATAAATAAAGTGCGAGTAAATAAATAGTGCAGGAAATAAATGCGGAAAATAAATAGAAACCTGCTCCAATCGGGAGGTTTTAAATCTGGTACAATTTGAAGTAAAAGACTGGAAAGTAAATGGCGGCAGGATTAACTTCTACCAAAGTGCTCCAAACCCGATTACAGACTCGATTAGACAATGTGATAACTACTCGATGTGAGAAGTTTATCACTTTACAACAGATGGAAATTTATGGCTTGAGTTCTGTAACTAAGCTTGGATGCCTAGAAATGAGGAAGAACTCTTCTATTTATAGTGCTAGGAAAGTACAAGGAAAGACTAGAGTGACCCCAACTTCTTTTGGGAGGGAAAACGAAATGCAAGGGTGGCGCCCGCCATGTGTAGTAGGGAAGAAAAAAGTGGGAGACGTGGCAGTTGTCAGAAGTTGGTCTCTTATCCAAGTTATGGCATCCTATATGGCGTCCGCCATGGTGAGAGCCATGTGTACAATTCCTAAAAAGTTGGTCTTTTTGCTCGTTTTTCTTCATTTCTTCTCGAGAAGCTCTGGAAATACAAAATCCTGAAAATGAAATAAAACAGAAGCATAACACGAGAAAACAGTAATAAAATCCTAAGGAACACATGAAAATCGAGTAAAATATATAGTACATTTTAGGTCTATCAAATTCTCTCACACTTAAGCCTTTGCTTGTCCTTTAAGCAAAATATTATGACAGAAAAAGGTGATATCCATAAATGATTTTGGCAAAAAGGGCTTCTAAGTTCAAGCTGGGATGAAGCGATAGGTATTAACTCAGTGAACCACGGGTATCGAAATGACACTTCTCCGTAAACACGGACATAGGCTTCGTTCTTATATAAACCAATCCATAATACCCCACTGTATCTAGGCCTACTTTTAAATCTCCTTTTGGGTCCTTTTCATTCTGGTGCAATCACATTAAGCCCGTTATCCATATAAACTCATAGTGAAGTGACCGGTTAGTGATCCTGATCTCAAGCATGGGGCTCTGGTACACAAACTGGTGTAACCACTTTTATTGTCCCAATTGTAGTTGTAGGGGATCAGATCGTAACCCGCCTTACCGAGCTCAGCATCAGACACCTCTGAACCAACAAACAATGGGAAGATATTTCATTTTTGTTTTGTTGTTATATTTTTTTTCCAAAATTTTTACAACTTTTTGGATTAAATGACCTTGTGAGGGTTACCTATACCCGAGTTGCAATTATTTTATTGAACACACAGATTATTCACTTATATCATTGGTCCTTCACTTAGAGCATGCTTAGGCCGGAGCTGACTGCTAGGATAAACTACTAAGGACTTACTATGAATA